TCTTTTCTTTCTTTACAGCACAGTCATATAAAATAAAAGTTTGACTGCTTTGATGCTATCTTATCTCAAAAATTTCCATTTAATAAGGCTGTAAGTAAAGCAAAATGATTTGCGTTCACGACTACAAGAGCATCCGATTGTACCAATCGATATTGATCTCGATCTTGGGTCCCACAAAAGAACAGTTTGGTCGCTTTTTTCAGCAGACTTATTGAAGAACGAGATTTTTGTAGCTAATTTTGTAATGTTGTTAAATATCACTGCAGAGAGCACTACCAGCACAAACACCGCAAGCACCTACGCTGCTTCAACAGCAACTGAGCGTTCGCCCTCCTCGGGTGTGTTCTGTAGTCCTTTCAGTGCAACAGCCTTATCGGGACACAGAGAAATGCTTTTTTTAGGTATCGTCGCAGTCGAGCTCAGCCATCGTAGGGAGTCAACCTAATGTAGTGATTCAGCAACAGCCAATCCCGCAGATATCGTCTTCGCAGCAGAATGGACAACAGTCAAAGGTAATCGAAGCAGTTTTTAGTTACTCATCACTATCTTAATGAGCATTGTCTCGGGGTATAATCTTTCCATTTTTTAAAAATAATTATGTCTTTAATCATTTCTCGATTTTCTGTGTTTTCATTCCACCTGACTTGTGTTTCAGCCGAGAATGTCGAATCAGGAAGCCCTGCCTCGCCAACTTCAGTCCGCGCCGAGCCAACAGCAACATGTGGTGATGGGCCTTCTTCAGGGTGCTCAGCTGCAGGTGAAATAAATTTTTTTGGCTGCACCGCAGTATTTCATGCAAAAAGTTGAGTTTTCTAACATTTCTCGTCTTCAGCAACATCAAACTGATGGAGGCGCTTCATATGCTAGTGCGAATGTTTCAAATCCTCATGTCCGTCAGGTTGGAACGTTTTATTTTTCTAGTGAAGTCGTAAGTAGGATTAATTGACTTACTGTAAGAATACTCTTACATGTATGATTTTCACGTTTCGTTCCTCTATGGAATATTCATGCGATCATGTCCCGATGATTCGTTTTGACTTAGGTATTAAAGAAAAGAGTCGAAGCCTGAATGTGAATTTTGCTCTTGACACATACTTTAACGATTGGAAATTTTTCAACGGATGCATAACCGGCATATTCCTTTAAATAGCGTTTTAGATCCTGGCAAATAGGACATCTCAGCCAACATTAATGGGACCCAGCTCCTCTACCGCGCAGCAGGTACATTTTCTTCTTTTTATGTCTAGGGGACTGAGTGGATTTGAATTTGTAGAGCCTGGAGTAGAACCAAAAGTAGACATCTTTTTCAGTAGCCCATGGTTTTACTCGCACATTTATGCGAAACGGCTTTGTCTTCTAGTGTGTAGAGGACATATTGCAAGATAATCGATGAATTTTAGGTTATACCCCATTCTCAAGCTTCACCTCCAAGAATGTCGCCTTCAACGCTTCAACAGCAGGTACTTTTTCAGAGCTTTTTCTTTTTGAAGAAATTTTCATCTTCTTTGTTCTTTCTTTGTGTTCAGAACTTTCGGAAAGCGGCATTTTAATTTTGTGTTATTTTAAGGCAGAATATGTTTAAAGTCACTGGTAGTATTCAAGTCCCCTTTTTATT